CAGAATGGTTTTCCCTTATCCTCTCAGTGAGGAGTTACCTTGTTCAGTAACCACAAGGAATCTCCAGAAGTATTACGAATCTATTGAAGGTACTACTGAAGGTACTACCTTGAAAGAAGTCAATATGCAAAATATCCCTATTTCTCAGATTTTACCTATAGGGTTGGATCTTTGTCATTAGTTTACTACCCATCAGAAAGGAAAGAAAACCTTTAATATTGTGAAAAATCTTTGCACATATAGCTTACAAGAAATGTATTTGATAGAAACAAGAATCAAACATACAAGGCTGCACCTAAATTGCTTGTAAACCTCCCGAATCAAGCCGAGTGCAGGAAGAAGGGGAGGGAATCAATTCATTTATTGATCTACTCAATGTCAGAAGGTCTGGTTGTGAGTCTGTTTCTTTGCACTTCCTTCACTACCAGAAAGCAGGCTGTCTAGTGCTTACACAACTCTTACCAATTAGCAGCTGGCAAGGCTGATGTCAGGAGAATAGTTTGCATTCTGAGATGGAAGCCTATTTTGGGGGGGGGGAGAAGAAGTAGAATTGTGATTGCAAAAATAAACCATTTTGCAAGAACATGACCAAGTCATGCACAAAACTTACACAGGACTGTGCATTAACAGCCCCTCTCCTACTTTCTAATCGGTTCTGCAGGCTGTAGCTTAGTGGCAAGTCATTGTGCCACCTTTTCTCAAGAATATAGTACTGACTTGAAGAGCATGAAACATGATTACACCTTTTAAGAGCATTTGTCATGAGGAAAGGCGAAAGAGATTGAGTTTTTATAAATGCTAGAGAGAAAAATATTTTCAGGTGATCAAACCGTAGCATTCAAAATTACTGAAAGGATTATTGCTAAATATCTCGTCCTGGTGAAGCAGGATCAGAAATAAGAGGAGAAAATTAGGAACAAATCAGAAATTTGGACAAGAACACTGCCTTAAATGAGAGTGGACATTAGGAATAGGTTACAAGATAAGGCCATTGATAAACAATTTAGAGTTGCACTGAAAACCTGTGAAATTAGGAAGACTTCAGAGCTGGGTTCCCCTGTTTCTCCTACAACTGCTATTGATATAATTAACGATACTTAGTTATACTGCAGTATCTACAGTTCCCAATCAGGTTCCATGGTCCATTGTGCGAGGTGCTGAACAAAACATATGAAGACATAATCCCTGCCCCCCCCAAAGGTTTTACAATCACAGGCCTTAATCCTGCAAAGACTTGACTCCCCCTCCCCCTGGAGCAGCTTTATGCACTGTGAATAGTGCCCCACTGAAGCAATGAGACTACTCATGGTGCATAAAGCTAAACGTGTGCAGGATCAGGGGCTAAGGGGCTGATCCATAGCCTACTGAAGTCAAAGCCAGTCTTTTCGTTCACTTCAATGGGCATTGGATCAGGGCCTAAGGGAGCCAATAACTGCGGGCTGGGTTTTGGGGATTTCGTATTAGTGATGTGATAGATCAGGGATCAGCAACCTTTGGCACGCAGCCCGTCAGGAAAAGCTCCTGGCAGGCTGGGACAGTTTGTTTACCTGCTGCGTCTGCAGGTTCAGCCGATCACAGCTCCCACTGGCCGCACTTCGCCGTCCCAGGCCAATGGGGGCTGCGGGAAGCAGTGCGGGCCGAGGGATGTGCTGGCCGCCGCTTCTCACAGCCCCCATTGGCCTGGGACAGCGAACCACGGCCAGCGGGAGCTGCGATCGGCTGAACCTATGGACGCTGCAGGTAAACAAACCGGCCCAGCCCACCAACGGATTTCCCTAGCAGGCTGCGTGCCAAAGGTTGCCGATCCCTGTGCTAGATGTACATAACATTCTAAAAAACTCAATTAATTAAAAAAACCCGACATTTTATTTAAGTTTTTCTTTAACCTAATGTGTGGAATACTGATTGACATATTAAATTAAATTGTGTTGCTCAATATATTTTGTTTTGGGGCTGTACTTTTTTAAATTTTATCATATAGTTTGGGGGGGGGTTGTATTTTAAAAAACTAATACAGCATTTTTTAAAAAATAAGAATGGGTTAATTTGCAATATTTTCAGATGACATGCATAATTTATGTATAATTAATGTGTAATATTTTAAGTTAATTAAGTAACATAATTAATGTGTAAACTTTTAAGTTAACCTATGGTGGAGAAAGATCAAAGTGATCAAAAGAAAGGTGAGTGAGGGATAAAAGAGAGGAGAGGAGAGAGGCCAGGTTGAAATTAATTAAAATTACTTTCTTTTTTGGGCCAATATCCAAATTCTGCCTCTATAGAAATGCTGAGTTACTGCATCACTTCCTTAATTGCTCTTAGTAGGAAGTATGAGTCATTTCATTCTCTTGTCTATCTTTAGACACAATCAGGAAGGGTCAGATTATAGAATCATCTCTGAATTAGAGACATGTCCTCTTAAACGGCTACAGTTAAGAGCTGGTTGATGCTTTTATCAGTCCTGCTTTTCAGGAGCTTAAGCAAACAAACGAAAACCAACAACACTGGTAGCATCCAACAACCACTAGTCCAAATTCACATTAAAAAATCCTTTTTCTTTTGTACTGCATCTATGTTAAAGGCACAGCTTCTTAGACGAAAGGCTAGTTACGGAAGGATCAAAGACAGGAAAGCAAGCAATAAACTGCCTTTAAACAGTTAAGTGCAGGAGGACTCATCACAAGGGAATGCTTGTGTGGCTGCTAAACACATTTAATCCCATTACATAAAACTCATTTATTCATCTATACTATCTCAGGTTAACAAACATCATTCCCACCCACTTCCCAGCAGACACCTCTCAGAAAGGTCCCATTACACTGATGGCCACCAGGAGCTCCTCTCTGTTTACTGGAGGTTGTAACAGGCACTCCACAGGTGCCATTCAGCCCTGAATGTTCATGGCTTTCTGACACAATCGTTTTTCTTAAGCAGAACAATTTAAATGTTATGGGCCTGATTTTCACAAGTGCTGAACTCTCACGAATGCAACTGAAGTCGAAGAGAGAGACTGGTTGCCAGTATGTCTGAAAATTAGGCCCTACGTCACCAATGATTCAAACATGATTTTCGACTGTCTGGCTAAGACCACTGTTAGTCTGTTAAATGTACTTCGTTATTTACACAGGAGCATGTAAATGCATGTGTTAGCATTATCTTTAAACTGAGAGGGGGATTAAAAAAAATCTCACAAAACCACAATAAGAATGTAGGAGCCATGCAAGTAGAGGAAAGAAATGGCAGCATTGCTTGTTTAGCTACCTGTAAGCGAATGACTCTATGGTTGAATTTTAATGCGGAAACCACCAAATATGTACAAAACTGTGAACATTTACTAACCTTGGTTCAATTGCCTGCCCAGGCATACATGTTTATAATAAAACCAAACAGTGGTCAGCTATTCACTGAAAGACACGAGAGCAGCAACCGCAAAACACTACAGAAAACCATGCTGTATGAGAACAAAGTTGCCATGCTAGTCTGCACAGAACAATTCATGTTCCACCACATGTAAAGGGTTCATTGCCTCCCCCAAGTCCCCCTCCCCTTTTTTTTAAATAAAGAGAAGGGAATTCATGTAGTAATATAGTACAGATCTCACAATCACATTTTCTGTGGGCAGCCATACGCCATAAATCACTACAAAAAATATAATGCACCGTGAATCTGTATGTGTCCTCCCAATTCCCATGTGACACCCAATGAGCACAGGGCTCCAAGCAGGTGTACTTGTCGTAAACAGGTAGGTCTTCGTAGTTCTGTTTCAATATTTGGCAAGGACTCTATAGCTCTGTCTATGCTGCAAGCTCTCTGCAGATGAAGGTGTGCAGAAGTGCCTAGACCCTCCATTGTCCACACTCAAAGCCATTAAACCCACACCTAGTAAGCAACTACATTCCGAGCTGGTGAGCTTGTCTAGGTTGTGGATGGATGCGTGGGTTGAGCGATGACCTGCCCACCTACAAGCCTGCTTTGCAGTGTAGAGGTAGCAAAGGTGCGAACACCTGGGCTCAAACCTTACCAGTCCTCTACTGCAGGGGTCGGCAACGTTCGGCACGTGGCTCGGCAGGGTAAGCACCCTGGCGGGCCGGGCCAGTTTTATTTACCTGCTGACGTGGCAGGTTCGGCCGATCGCAGCCCCCACTGGCTGCGGTTCGCCATCCCGGGCCAATGGAGGCGGCGAGAAGCCACGGCCAGCACATCGCTTGCCCGCGCCGTTTCTCGCCGCCCCTATTGGCCCGGGATGGTGAACCGTGGCAAGTGGGGGCCGCGATCGGCCGAACCTGCCGCGTCAGCAGGTAAAATGCCGAACGTTGCCGAACGTTGCCGACCCCTGCTCTACTGTCATTGCCATAATTCCCCATGCCCTTATCTTCTGGGCCTTCTACACTTGCCCTCTATGCACTGGAAGCTGCCGCAGCATTTAACCCTTCATTTCCCACATACCACGCTCCACTTTCTTATTCTCTGAACAGCGGAGCACAGCATGGAATAAGCCTTGCACCTTGCATGCTGCTAGCTAGCCAGAGGATCATACCAGGGTACCAGTTACACTGAGTACTCCCAGGAGTATGTTTTAACAGGACTTTGGACCAGGCTTGATATTTATGTATAAGCCTTCCAGTCATCACTGTAATACTGGTACACACACTCCCCATATAAAAAAAGAACTCTCCGAGCACGATATTAAAACACTGGATCACTGAAGCCAATTTGTGCTCTTTTATTACAAAGGAGGTAGAGAAAAGCACTAGACTGTGTGCCAAGAAAAGAAGACACAACCCTGCTCCAAACTCTGTGGATATGCATGGGGTGTTGGGGAAAGTTGCACCAGGGCATCTTCAGCATGGCTAAAGCTCAAAGCACAGGTCCTTGATCTATCTGCTGGAGAATCCCCTCACACATCAGAGGAACTCTCCACAACAGAAACATTGCAACACATGCAGTGATCCTCTCTCTCTCATACATACACACATTACTCAGTTGCGACTAGTTCTCACCATTAAGCGTCTGGTCTGTTCCCAACACATTCCATTCTGCTGGCAGTTTCAGATGCCGAAATGCCAAAACCACTTTCTCATCCAGAAAATCCACATCTCCCGAGGGAGGCCTTGACCGGTCCAGGAATCTTGTGAAGTTCAGTGCTTGCTGGTTTCCAGCGCAGGTTGCTAGGAACTGAGCTGCATCATAGGCCTCATCCTGAATGAACTGAAAACTTTCCTCTGCCACCACTAGAACAGGAAGCCCTTCCTTGGCAGCGCAAAGTGCCACCTTCACTGTCTCACAGCAGTCATGGCCTGTAAAATAAAACCAAGAAAATGAACATAATTGTAATGGAGAAGAGAAATGACTAAGCTAAAGCAACATGGGTCTGGACATTGATCACCCCATTAGTATATACACACCCGCACGTGGTGTCCCTTTACACATTATTTTTTGCGTATAAAGGAAAACACCGTATGGCAAAAAGTTCTCAGTGATGCCTCCTGCATGAGAACCCACTCACTCTCTTATCTAGTGATCACATTACAGCCTTCTTGTTCGTGGGCTAACTTCAGCCACCAAGAGACAAATTCAGGACTGCTAATTGACTCAGGAGAAGGTTTTCAGAATCAAAAAGGGGAGTAAGGCTCTTCACTCGCATTGAAAGTCAAGAGGAGTTTGACACTTAACTCCCATTTGGCCTTTGAAAATCTCCCCCTTAGTTCATAGAACCATATTTTAAAGAATACTGTGAGACCATGGCAGCCCATCAGAAATAAAGCACAGGTGTCAGCATTCGGAGCACCTTGCCAGTGAAGACAATGAACTAATTGCACTTAAGCAACCAAAAAGCAACAATTAATACTGGAACATAACATGCTTTAGACATGTTCTATGTGTGTGGTTACACCTCTTTTGTTCAACACTGCACCTGCCATTTGGATTTGATTTCACATGACAGAACTAAGCTTGCTGCATTCCAGAGAACAGGGAAATTGCTGCTTTTCATATTTTCCAAAAAAGAGTGAGAGAAGATTATTTTCACATCTCTGCTGACTTTTCATTTACTTATTTTAATGAAAGGCCAGTGCAACAGGGCAGCAGTTCCCTAGACCCAGAAAATGCAAGATAAACTCCCCTGCAATTTAAAAGGTGGAAAAAAAAATCTCATCTTTTTAGCATGACCGACACTTAAAATTGTCTGACAAGCCCCTTTAATAATAAGGTTTATGTTTCAAGTTCAATGTTCTCTGCAGTCTCGGTCTCTCGCTCCAATGGTAGACTGACGTCATTGCTGTTTTTGCCAGAACAAGCACAGACCCTTCACTAATTACTGGAAAAGCTGCTCTCTCTACCCATGACCTCAGCATCTTACTACGTTGATCAAACCCTGTTTATTTATTTATTTTATTAAATAAAAGAGATGACGGAATTTTCACAATTGGGCCTGAACATTTCATTTACTCACACACATGGATGATGAGTGGGTAGCCTTCCCTTGTGTTTGGGAGTGGGTCTCAGTAATCACTTTTATTTATAAAGAAAAAAAAGTTTCTAGCCCTTATGGTCAGGAAGAAAACCTTCCAGATATAACCAAATGCAGGTTTGTCTTCCCAGTCTGAAGACAGACTGCTCCAATGCCTCTGCTGTTGCTCCTTGATTTGTCAAGCATCAGCCAAATAGTCAGTTTCAGTAAAAAGATCAGTTTCATTGCTGCTATTCAGGACTCTGTAGTCAGCAAATTGTCAAGTATCAGGTTAATGTCATGCTGCTGCTGGAGAAAAACATGTGCAACAGGGGCAGGCAACAGCGGCTTCCACAGGAGAGGAGGACACACAAAAACAGAGGCTAGGGGAGAAAGAGTAGCTGAGACCTCTCCTTGCAACCTGGAGGCTCTGGAATTAGCAGATGAGACACAAAACTCCTTCTCCCTTCCAGCAGCTAGAATGGAGTGGAGATTCAAATTTATCCAACACCTACTGATGTGAAAGATGAAGCAGTGGGTGTTGCAGAACCAGTGCTAAAATTGATTAACTGCAAGAGAAGACAAAACCAATTTCAACACCATTTCTGAACCCCGTGGCTGAGCTCTGCTCAGAGCAAGGTCTGGAACATGGTTTCTGAAATGATGCAAATTCTGGATTTGCAGTTTAACCATCCTTGCCACCAGTCTATGACACCGGCTGTCAGCAATAAGTACATTACTAATATAGACAAGTCTCCCACTCTGCCTTTCATTTATTCCTCGGGCTGCAGGATTAGTCCTCTGGACAGCAGGTGTCTGGTAAACTTTTCAATCCCTATTACACAAAAATATTGATACAATGTACACAATACAGTAATGACATGGCATCAACCCATGGAAACCAGCTCAGGTGCTGCACGCTTTCTGTTTTCACCAACACAGACACTGTTAGCAACCTGCGGTGGCTGTTTACTAGGCTGTAAGGTCTGTAAGGTAAGAAGCGTCTCATCTGCAAAATGTGCCTATAATACCCCTGTGATGCTGACAGGCCAGCTCAGGTCAGAGCAATAGGTCAATTCACTTGTGTGAGAATATCAAAGAAATGTTACGTGTACTAATTCACTCACGTTTTAATTTAGTTCAAAGGAAATGTGAATGCTATTGCCTTCACTTATCTATTACTGGCTGATTACTATCGCATTACATCATTATGTATACCTTGTAATTGGATAACCTAGACCAAGGTGTGTGTGAGTGCTAAGATGAGATGATGTTTGAGTGTAAACTGCACGAAAACTAATGACATGTTACTTGTATTGTTTTCACTTATCTATCCCAATTAGAATTGAATTTTGTACATCACTGTAACTAAATTACTTGTGAATACAATAGAAGCAAAATGCTAACTTCAAAGCAAGGGCTGTTGTGTTCAAGAATGGAAATTCACAAACTAAGTTTTACAATTGCTACTCATCAAAACCCAGGTGGGTGAAGACACTGGTCAGATTGTCTTGTGAGAGCTGGATCTATAAATAATTGTCTAAGGGAATGATCCTGCATCTCTGAACTTTTTGGACACTCACAGGAAAGCATTCCAGACACAAGATAGATCCCCCAAGTTACTTTGTGTAACCAAGAGAGACTTATGAAAACTAGCAGATTACTACATCTCTGATATCATTTTGGACATACAAATTTTGACTCACCTGTTAATGTATTTTACCTGATTTAACCTCTCAATAACTCATTTATTTTTCTTACCCAATAAATCTTTAGTTCGTTTACTAGAGAAATCGGCTGCTTGCTTTTGAGATCGAGAGTATCGACTGATGTGGGGTAAGCGACCAACCCTTTGAGATTGGGAGTAACCTGAAGTGGTGTGATTTTTTATTTTAATAACTTTTATCACTAAGTTCAGTTTGTCTGCATGGCAAGACAGGCAGGAGAGTCTAAGGGGACCGTCTGTGACTCCATGTAATACTGTTATAGTAATCCAGGAGTGCATATTTGTTATTGGCTTGGTGAAATCCAATTATAAAATATACCACCAGTTTGGGGTGTCTGCCCTATTTTCTGACCGTCTGATCTGAGATTGGCACTCAGATAGTTGTGAGCCTCTCCAGACAGTGTGACAACCCCTACTCTAAAAACCTGCCGTCACTTAGAATTCAGTCTGAACTCCCCCAAGCAATGCCAAGTAATAGTTAAGGGAGTGAGGTAATGCACGGACAAATAGTTCAGGTCATTCACTTCTTACAATTCCTCTGCCTATCTGACACTAGTACAGGCTTTTCAGTTAGGAGAGTAGCAAGAGAAATCCCAGGTGTGATATTTGGACTCCCGTTGTCAGATAACCTGGCACTGCACTCATGTTCTCATAGCAGACATCCATTAGCCATGCTGAACTGAGTTCCCATGAACAGAGAGAGAGAGAGAGAGAGAGAGAGCCCAAACATCAGAGTTTCTGCACCCAATTTAAAGCAAAACCAGATGGGTGTTCAGTGCAGTGTACTGCAAACACTTTATGCACTGATCTGCAGACAGTAAAGGTCTCTCAGAACTCACACATAAAATAGCCAGTACAGCTTTCAGAGAAGCAAGGGAAGTGACAATTCATTTATATCTAATGGGATCAAACATGTGTTCTGCTAACCTAAGGGGCATGTTCTCCTAAAGGGTAACCGTATTCTATCCCCTCAAATGCTCTGATGTTCTCCTTCCCTCCATCTGACAAAACATCAGATTCAGGGGTGAGTGTCTGGGACAGGTTCTGACTTTGGCAATCAGTTCAAAAGAAAGAGGAGCAATTAAGTAACAAGCATGACAAATGCTAAGATTGCTCAAGAGGACCCTGCCCCCTGCTTTGAAATGTCTCGAGGAATGGTGCGTGTGAGTATGCTTCAAAACATGAATGCACACATACAGCCTTCTGAAGGGACCGTCTCCAGTGGGGTAACATTTCTCTCAGCTTCAAAGAGCCCCTTACAATAATATCTGGACTGCAACAACTCCTTCCCCAGAGGATGTCAAATAGCATTAGAAATGTTAGCTGATTTTCCCAACATTTCTATGAAATAAGTGATAGTTAATGCGATTATGCTCATTTTACAGGTTGCAGAGCAAGGTTAAGTGATTTGCCCAAGATCAAACAGTCAGTGACACTGATGGCATACTCAATTACTCCTGGTCACCTGTTCCCTGCTCTAACAACTACGCTGCAGGGATTTCCTTTACGTATGATAAGTATCAACTCATTTACTCTGAAAAACACAAACATGCTTGGTGTATGGAACAGTTCCCCTATGCTTACTACCAGGAATACTTACAACACTGCAGCCAGTCATTTGGTTATCTGAGGCACCCAGGGCCGGCTCCAGGCACCAGCAAAGGAAGCAGGTGCTTGGGGCAGCCAATGGAAAGGGGGGGCACGTCCGGGTCTTCGGCAGCGGGTCCCTCAGTCCCTCTCAGAGCGAAGGACTCGCCGCCAAATTGCTGCCGAAGAATGAAGCGGCGCGGTAGAGCTGCTGCTGAAGTGCCGCCGATCGCGGCTTTATCTTTTTCTTTTTCCCCCCCGCTTCGCCACTTGGGACGGCAAAAAAGCTGGAGCCGGCCCTGGAGGCACCATCTCAAAGCAGTCTCTCTCAATCTTTTCAGGCTCATCATCAACATCCAGCATGCATAGACTACTGAGGACCATTGTGCCAGCCAGAATGACCACAGCTGATGGCATCGCACCAGGCATTGTATACTGAAGTTCCCAAATCTGAGTCAATACTGCAAATCCAAGAATCAATGGGGTAGCCCAGTGAGCAGTGCCAGGTAGGGTCAGGGCATGTACCCCTTTGCTCA